GCATGATATCTAAATAATATTTTATGTACAATGTGATTTAAATATGTATTTATAACTAAATTAATATTAAATATTGTTAAGTAGATGTTTGGTTATACACAGCTCTAAGAGTTGATATATACGCTCAGTGCATGTTCTAGGTCCCAGCAGCAGTCCTTGTAGTGCCAAACCTCAGGCTGCACTCTAGGTCTGCTTATGGGTCCTGCAGTTGAGCTGGGAGTCTGGCTCCCAACTCAGTGCCAATCCCCAGGTACAGGAGTATCAGGTCACTACCTGTCTGTTGGGAATCTGCCCTTTTCTCTGCCAGAGGGGAACTACATCACAGCTGAATTCAGAGTCTTTCTTAACTTCTTAGTCTCTTTTTATTACTATTATTATTATACTTTAAGTTCTAGGGTACCGTGCAGGTTTGTTACATATGTATACATGTGCCATGTTGGTGTGCTGTACCTATTATTAAAACTCGTCATTTACATTAGGTAAATGACAAGTTAATGGGTGCAGCTGGGTGAGCATGCCTTTCTCAGTTGCATGATATAGGAGACAGCTATCAGGCTCAGCCACAGGGGAAGGGGGTGCTCTCTCGTAGGTGCTGTGTCTCAAACTTGGTTGTACATTGTTTTCACCTGGGGAATTTTTTACACATGTAAAGTGCCTGGTTCAGAGAGTGGTGGTGTACAGATGAAAATGTGTCCCACACCTCTCAAGGACCAGAAGTGTTTGTACTTGTGACAGATGGACTAAATGTCCTCCACTTTCAGAGCTGCTCTCCTAGGCTCCTAAGTTCTCAGGAGCACCTCTGGTGTCTGTGACTTCCTGATTCTGGAGGCAGAAGCCCCACATCTCATGGGGGATAATCATGTGGACTTGGGGCCCTGTCTGTATATTTCTCAGAATCAGTGTTCTTGTATGTGAAATACAAGAGTAGGGCTGTCGTTTGAATAATAATTAACCAAATAAAATGGAAAAAAGCATGATATCTAAATAATATTTTATGTACAATGTGATTTAAATATGTATTTATAACTAAATTAATATTAAATATTGTTAAGTAGATGTTTGGTTATACACAGCTCTAAGAGTTGATATATGCCAATTGTCTAAAGTAAAACTTTACTTTGATATCTTCATTGAAAGATGGAGAATCTCTTTAAAAAAAATAAAAAGTCAAGGTTGACACAGCTTGATGGGGTTAGGGACCTTCTGAGGGAAGAGAAGAATTTCTGGACAAAGGTGTTGTGACACAAAGAGAGCGCATGTCCTTTGGGTCCACTCTGGGGCCCGCAGCCTCCCTGGGACAGTGCCTGCACCACTGTGATGATTCTCCATCTCTGCTCTTTGCTGCACAGCCCCTCTTGGAGGGCTAATCTCTTAAATCCAGGCTTTCTTTCAACTACAAGCTTGTTCCCTGACTTTCTGACAAGGATGATAGCCAGGGTGCTATTTGGCTCTCTGTTCCTTCCCATCTTGCCCAGGATAATATTTCTTTTTCTTTAATTTCTTTTTTAATTTTTAATTTTTTTTTTTTTTTTTTGAGGCAGAGTCTCACTCTGTCACCCAGGCTGGAGTGCAGTGGCGCAATCACGGCTCACTGCAAGCTCCGCCTCCTAGCTTCAAGCAATTGTCCTGCCTTGGCCTCCCGAGGCTGGGATTACAGGGTGCTCCCCACCACGCCTGGCTAATTTTTGTGTTTTTAGTAGAGACTGGGTTTTGCTATATTGGCCAAGCTGGTCTCAAACTCCTGACCTCAGATGATCCTCCTGTCTTGGCATCCCAAAGTGTTGGGATTACAGGTGTGAGCCACCAGGTCTGGCTTCCAGGAGAAAAAAACACCTGGCTGCTGTAGGCAGAGTAAATGGGTTGGATAATTTGTACTTCCCTACATTCCTATTCCCCTCATTTTAATGGTGTAGAAAGTAAGATAATTGCTTGAACCCAGGAGGCAGAGGTTGCAGCGAGCCGAGATTGTGCCACTGCAGTCCACCCTGGGTGACAGAGCGAAACTCCATCTCAAAAAAAAAGAAAAAAAAAAAAAAAAGAAAAAAGAAAAAAAAAAAAAAGGAAATGCAGTCCTCATTTACCATCATCGACTAGATTCTTAGAAACTGTGATTTTAAGCAAAACAATGTACAGCAGGTCCTTAAGTAAACATCCTTTTGTTATAACATTGATGAAAAAAAAAAAACAGTTTCATTTTACGTCATCATGCTTAAAGTTGACGTTTCCAAGAACCTATCAGTGATGTTGAGTGAGGACTTACTCTATAATTCAATCTGCTAAAAACCAGGTAATATCCTTTAATACCAACTGTGGTTTATTTTTGTATACAGACATATGAACAGGTATTTGAAAGGCAATGTGATATTTGTTGTACTAGAAGGATGTTCAGGGTGCTGTGGGAACCCAGAAGAGGGACTAATTAACTAATCCTGGGGGAAATTAACCCTGCTTCTCAAAGGTGGAACATTTGAACAGGTATGAAAAGATGAATAGGAGTTTATCTGAAAAGGAGAGGGGCAAGAAAGAGTATTTCAGGAAGAGGAAACAGCATTTTTCACAGACACAGAGTCAGGCAAAAGTTTGGTGTATTCAAGAAATAGCAGAGATATTGGGCATGGCAAAAACACAGGGTGTATGGCAGGCAAAGCTAAAGATGAGATTAGAGAGAGGTAAGGTTAATTTGCAAAGGGCATTGAATGCCAAGCTGAGGACTTTGGCTTTAAGGCCAAGGGAGCAGAGGATGTGTGATGAGGCCTTCTTTGACCTATTAAGTTCTTTCTCTTTCTTCATTCTGCTCATGAGGCCATGTTACAGTGACTGATGTTTGGGCATCTGGTACCAGGGAAGTCTTGTGGATGTTGTTTTCAATGATTAGAGCAGCATTTCTGTCCTGGGCGTAGAGGAGGAGGCCTCCCCAGGGTGAACCAAGTGGAAGGGAGGGACAGTAGCCTTATTCCCCTGGATGATGTCACCTGTGGAGAGCATCCTTCTCCACCTCTGGCCTTTGTTCTTGACAGGCGGGAGAATATGCAGGACATTCCAGATGCAATCCGGTCATTAACACTCATGGCTCTGCAAAGACTCAGAAAGTTTTTCTTTCTTCCTTTTTTTTTTTTTTTTGGTGGGGTGAGGGAGTATTAAACTATTATTTTTCATGATTTTGTGGATTTTGATTTTCCCGGGATGTATCAATTAGCTTTTACTGCATAACAAGCCACCTCTAAACTTGGTAGTTAAAATAACTAAACTTTATTTAGTTTATGATTCTACAGTTTGGCTGTTTGGGCTGGGATTCTCTGGGTAATTCTTCTGGTTTGGCCTGGGCTTAAATAATTATGACTGTGTTCACTCTTGCGTCTGTGTTCAGCTAGTGTGTTAGCTGGGGCTAGCTAGTCTAAGATGGCCTCAGGTGGGATGCCTGAGACAACTGAGATCTCTCTCTGCATGCTCTCTCATCTTCCAGCAATCTCAATGCCAGGTTAGATTTTTCACATGGCAGTCTTAGAGTTCTAAGAACAAAAGCAGAATTATATAAGGCCACTGAGGCCTAGGCTTGGAGAACTTGTCACTTTTGCTGCATTCTGTTGGCCAAAGAAAGTCACAAGGTGAGCTTAGATTCAAAGGGTGAAGGGTCCTACCTCTTTTAAAAATTAAAAACTCATCACTGACTTGAAGCTCATGGAGAGTCTTACCTTTTGATGGTAGGATTTCAAGGGTATGGATGCAGGGAAGGGAAGAATTTGTGGCCATTTTTTGAATCTACCAGTCAAACTAACTTTCATCACCAGAGAGTTGATAATTGAGTTTATTGCATTACTGTGAATAGGATATGAGGAATCTTTTGACTCCAAAGTCAACATTCATGGAGGACCATGTGATTTCTGAAGTTTTATCTAATTTAATCTGCACAGCAACTCTTATTTTGCCTATTTTGCATATGAAGAAAGTGGGGCACAGAGCAATTAAGTGAGATTGTTTTGCCCAAGGTCATTGGCTGGTAAACCTGGTATTTGGGCTTACATTTGTCTGACTATAAGTCTGGAGCAGCTGCCATTATATCCATCTTCCATATTTTGAAGAGATGAGACAGAGGAGATTGTAGTGGGACTGCTGCATTCACTGCCATAGCCAACCCCTTTCCAGATCACCCTCATCCCTGGACACAGGTACCTTGCCCTACTCCAGAGGCTCATTTTATTGTTCTCAGTAGGTTGACTGCTCTTGGGGTGGGCCAGCAGAATCACTGTGGTCTCCAGGGTGGGAGTCTTTTGCTGCTTTTATGGTCCAGAAGCCCACTATGCTGAAGAATGTGTTAGAGATGGATATATTTCTCTGGGGAGAGATTGTAGGTCAAGCTGTTCATAGGTAAAATATACATATATATGTTGCATCCAACATGGACTATGGGGAGAGAGCCCTCCAAAAGACCTCTGAGCCTCAGAGGCAGACTGACTGGTATATGCTGTCAAGAGAAAAATACCTCCTAGATGAGCAGGCAGAGAGGGCTTGCCTTTCTCTGACTAAAGCCTTCTGGAAGCTGTAGCTTTGAGATCTTCCAAATCATCCTGCTATGTGGTAACTGTAATGACCTGGAGCTGTGCCTCTAACTAAACTGACTCCCTGGATCTTGGCTAGTGATGGGAGCTGTGCTCTCAGGGATGTGGAATGAGGAATGGGAGCAGCAAGAAGGCACCTGATTGTCAGAACCAAAGCAGGGCTGGGCCTGTAGTAGCATGGCTTATGGGGTGGGGAGGAAGGTAGGACCAGGTAAAGACAAGAATGTGAGGAGACCAGTTGGTCTGTAGGGAAGGCCCCAATGGGATGGTGATGTTCAGGGTACCCACATAGTAAATGCAGGCTATGGCATCAAATGTAGTTCATTTTGGCAGACATGGGTATTGCCACGTATCTTGGTGTTGTGTATTAGAAAGCCCCATGTCCAGGCCTTAGGTATAATCAGCCATGTTGCTCTGACTCTGCTATCTTTCTTTCTTGCACAGAGCTCATCTTCTGTCCTGGGTGTGAACAAGTATATCTTACCAGGGATGTAACTGAACATTTTTTTCTGCAGTGTGTTCCTACTGAGCAACCCAAGATGGCCAGGGTAAGTCAGGGCAAGGAAAGAAGCAGCTGATCTGTTTCTGAAATCTGTGAGGCCCCTGTCCATAAGTCTATCTATCACTCTATATGATTTGTTACTTCTCTTTCAGTTTTCCTAATCATCCATCCATCCATCTAGAAGAAAATAAAAATGCATGAGTTGGGGAAAACAATGAGGGGGTTTCTATTAAGTGAAAATTACTGACTTTTTTTAGTATCAATCCCTTTAGCAGAAGGTGAGTGTAAGTTAAGGTATATTAAGAGTTGCTTACTGTATATATAATTATTTTTTCTCTCTTACAGCTCTTACTGAAAAATACCAGTACTGGGCTTTTGTTTTATTTTTTTATTATCCTGAGTTGAAATTCATATACCAGCCTAGATTAAATGGGTTTATTAATCTTACCTGTATTTACCAACTATCGCCTTTTTCCTGAATTTCTTAAATTTTTTATCACTTACTGGCTGGCAGCCCTTCTGTTCCTCTTTCTACTAGGGTATCCTTGTCATCTAAATTAGTAAATTGCTAATTTACTAATTTACTTACTTGTTCCTGTGACTGATTTGTGTTGAATGTCTCACATGTGCCAGGCCCTGTGCTGGATATTAGGGAGATAGACCCATATACTCTACCTTCAAGGAATTCATAGTTTAATTAGTAAAACTTTCAGAATTCACACCAGTTTGGTGGCCTCTGTGATTCAGGCACAGATAGGCCAACTTTTCCAAATCTCCCCTTCTCTTGATGTTTTATATCGGCCCTGGCAAGATATTTGCTTACCAAATGAATGAACATTTGGACTGGGAGAGGCCTAGATACCCTCAGATCAGGCAGAACCCAGGTGTGGGAGTGCAAGTCTGAATGCTGGTCTGTACTTGCCCTTTCTTGGCTGCATTTGACCATCTTGCTGTGTAATCCCATATGTGGGCCTTCTCCTCTCTGAAGCACTCCTCTCTGAATTTCCTGCTTTTGCCAGTGCTTGCCCTCTAAATTTTCCTCCCTTGTCTGCCTGATGAACCTACTTGTCATTCAGTATCCAGCTCTAATGTTTCCTTTTTGTAAAACTTTTCCTAGCCACTCCTAGACTGAGTTCCTGGAAGGCTTCCTTTGCTTCCTTTGCATATGTTGCATCCTTTTTATTACAGCATTACTCAGTTAATGCGTACCATCCTGTGTGCTATGGATAGCGTGAGGTCAGATCCTTGGCTTATGCATCTAGGTATCCTTAGCTTCAGCACAGGACTTGTGTGAACAGCCCCTGAGACAGCTGCTGCTGCTGCTCCTCCTCCTCCCTCCCTCCCTCCTTCCTTCCCTCCTTTCCTTCCTCCTCTTCTTTCTCCTCCTTCCCCTCCTCCTACTCTTCCTCCTCTTCCTCCTCCTACTCTTCCTCCTCCTCCTGCTCCTTTTCCTTCTTCCTTCTCCTTCTCCTTCTTCCTTCTCCTCCTTTTCTGAGGCAGGGTCTTCCTCTGTTGCCCAGGCTGGAGTGTAGTGGTATGATCTTGGCTCACTGCAGTCTTGACCTCCTGAGCTCAAGCGATCTTCCCACCTCAGTCTCCCTAGTAGCTGGGACTACAGGCATGTGCCACCACTCCTGGCTAATTTTTGTATTTTTTGTAGACATGGGGTCTCACTATGTTGCCCAAGCTGGTCTGAAACTCCTGGGCTCAAGCAATCCTCCTGCCTTGGCCTCCCAAAGTGCTGGGGTTACAGGTGTGAGCCACCATGCCTGACGTAGCCACTGTTCTTTTGGTCACAAAGGATGCTTCCTTTCACAAGCCCCGGCATGTTACTCCCAGACAGCTCTGCAAAACAGACTACACTCCAAAATAGTGGAGGAATAGGCCTGCAGGACCCCTGTCTTTAGAGTACTTGCCACTTGTGGAGGCAGACCCAGATGAGGATCATGTCAGTAACTCCAGAACTCTCTGCTTCCAGAACTGCTCCGAGTGCAAGGAGAAGAGGGCAGCACATATCCTCTGCACCTACTGCAATCGCTGGCTATGCAGCTCTTGCACAGAGGAACACCGACACAGCCCTGTCTCTGGGGGCCCGTTCTTTCCTCGGGCCCAGAAGGGATCTCTAGGTACCAATTCCACCTCTCCTCGCCCACTCCTGTGCCCTAAAGCAGGGCTGAACCCTAAGATCCCTGGAGAATAGCTCTTCGATCTTGTTTCCTTGCTGGGGGAGAAGGTAGGGACAGTCTCAGAGCCTTTCCCAAAGGAAGTCTCCTTCAGAGTCAAAGGGGTGACTCACTCCTGTCCCTCCCTGTGGGGGGTGGGGTGGATGAGTATGGATGAAATGGTATAGGGAGGAAGGTGTTGGATTATTGTGGAAGCTAGCTGAGCTCCCTGCCTTTCACCTCTAGAGCAATCATGCCACCCTTCTAATTTATTTACTTGATTAACTTAGTCTGGATCAGGGCTTGTTCGTTTGTCTATCCAGCACCATCTGTTTTATTTTATTTTTATTTTTTTTGAGATGGAGTCTCATTCTGTCACCCAGGCTGGGGTGCAGTGGCACGATCTCGGCTCACTGCAACCTCCACTTCTTGGGTTCAAGTAATTCTCCTGCTTCAGCCTCCCGAGTAGCTGGGATTACAGGCATGCGCCACCACACCCAGCTAATGTTTGTATTTTTAGTAGAGATGGGGTTTTGCCATGTTGGCCAGCCTGGTCTTGAACCCCTGACCTCAGGTGATCCACCCACCTTGGCCTCCCAAAGTGCTGGCATTACAGGCGTGAGCCACTGTGCCCAGCCACCATCTGTTTTAAATGACACTCTTCTTGAAAGTCTTTTCTCAAGGCCCTTGAATTGTGAAAGGGGTTCTACATCTGTCAAATCCACAGGAACCAGAGTTCATGATCCATGAGATCTAGCCTGGAGCCTGGCAAGGCTGGGTAGCTGGTTTCAGCTCTGTTAAAAACAGAATCCTGATTAATGAACAGGTTGAGGTTAATTGTGAAGGATTCATTATTTTGCAGGAGATCTATGTGCAGTATTAGCAAGTGCCTTCCTCAGCCTGTGGCAGGTAGTGGGATGCTCAGGCTTGATGGTGTGCTATTTCTGGACAACTGGGCAAATCCAGCCAAGCTAAGCCCAAAATCCTCCTTGTGCCCCTGGAGAGTCATCTCCTGTTTGTACCACTTCTCCCAAGCTCTGTGTTTCTGCAGTGTCCTCTGAAGGCGGAGGGCTGTGCAGCAAATCTTAAACTGAGAGGTCTGTCTAACCGAGCAAGAGAAGCCCACTTTCTCTGTCTTCTCTGGCAGGAGTGAATAGTGGTCCCGGAGACTTCACCTTGTATTGTCCTCTACACACACAGGAAGTACTCAAGCTATTCTGCGAGACATGTGATATGCTCACTTGCCATAGCTGCCTGATGGTGGAACACAAAGAACACAGGTGGGGCTGACAGATTGCCTGAAATGGGCTGGGGAGGGCTCTGGATTTCTTACTTTCAAGAGCTCTGGGGCTCCCCATGCATCAAAATCTTCTCTCTGCCCAAGCCAGCCTACAGCCCCTGGGCTGAAGTTTTTCCCTGCTCCTGTTGTGGTACTTCCCTGGAAAAGGCCTAATGGGCCAAGAGCCTGTGGTGCCTTAGACTTTCACTAGAAGTCATCACAGCCTCCATGGGTCTGGCTGAGACAATCCCCTGTGGAGATTCCCGCTTAGTTGGCATGCTCAAAGTAGGACTCAGCCCTTCTCAGCTTTTTCTCTGCCTCATCCCCCAGGTGCAGACATGTTGAAGAAGTTTTGCAAAACCAGAGGATGCTTCTGGAAAGTGTGACTACACAGGTGGCACATAAGAAATCCAGTCTACAGACATCTGCAAAGCAAATTGAGGACAGGTAGCACAGGCTAGTGCCTTGCCGGTGCTGGAAATGCTGTGTTCCTGCACACCCGGGATTCCGACAACAGGCTATCAGATGTAGTGCCTGTGAAGAGGAACTGTGGTTAAGCAGATGTGGGCATATGTCCTAGAAGGCATATGTCTTGGCCTTAGAGGTCTCAGAGCCAAGGAGGGATCATTAAGTCATCACTTAGTAACTGAGACCAAGCTAGGTCAGGATGATCAGAGTGAGTCTGGGTCAAAGCATACATGTTATGAACTAGCCAGAAGTCGGTGCTTGAGAACAAGGGTACCAAGCAGACACTAGGGACGAGAGTGCTGCTTATTATGAGGGTGGAACAAACCAGGGGCAATCTGCGCTTTATCACCCCTTTCCCTGTGTGTTCTCTATTCATCTACAAATCACATGAAATCATTGGTATTTTACATAGGAAGAGGAAGTGGTAGGTGCTGAGAGCACCTCATGTGGCAGGCACTGCATTGGGTATCATGTATGCATTATTTTATTCAGTTCTTGCCATTCTTTCAGTCAGGGATTATCTCCATTTTACTGATGAGGAGACTGAGGTTCATAGAGGTTAGGTAACTTATCTGAGATCACACAACTAGCCAGTGACTGTGCTGGGTTTAGACGCTGGGTCTGTGGTGACTTCAAAGCCCATGCTTTTTAAATTTTTAAAAATAGCTTTACTGAGATATAATGTACATATCATAAAATTATTCTTTTTAAATGTATAATTCAGTGGCCTTTAGTATATTCACAGAATTGTGCAACCATACATAATTACTGTCTACTTTTAAAACATTTTCATCCCCCCAAAAAGAAGCCACATTAATATAAACATTATTATATGTTTATAATAAATATTATATAATATGTTTATTATTTATTATATAATTATATAATGTTTATTATTGTTTATTATCTAATATGTTATTATGCCAATAGTGTAAATATTATTAGTCACTCTCCATTCCCCCAACACCTCCCAGCCCTCAGAAACCACTAGTCTGCTTTTTGCGTATTTTTGCCTCATGGTGACATTTATTGGAGCATCCTCCTTTTAAAGACAACAAATTACAATAAATCATTCCCATACTTTCTCTTTTGGTCCTACCTCTAGTGCTGTGTCAACTGGGGGCTACTGGGTTGACCTGGGTGTAGACTTGAGGTTTACCTAGAGAAAACCAAACTGAACTTTGATCAAGTGGGGCTCAGGTGTACAAAAGGTGGGGTGGTGGAGGAAGGCTCTTTTTTTTTTGTATTTGGTGTCTGCTAGGCCCTGATCTCAGTAGGCAGCCTCCAAGTTGCTTCTTATGTTTGCTGTCTCTTAGTCTTCATATAGTCCATGAGGAAAGCTTACCATGGCTTGTCCCATTGTGTTTACAGGATTTTTGAAGTGAAGCATCAGCATAGGAAGGTGGAAAACCAGATCAAAATGGCCAAGATGGTTCTGATGAATGAGCTGAACAAACAGGCCAATGGGCTAATAGAGGAATTAGAGGTATGTATAGACAGATGGATCAGATGGATGGGTTCAGAAACCATCCACAGATCAAGCTAGTCCCAGGACCGAGGGAAGCCTAGGCTGTAATTCAGATATGCAGCTTCCATAGCTCTCTCCTGCTCCCTGTATTTTAAAATGTCAGCCTAATTTTGGGAGGGTGGCTCATGAAGGGCTAGAAAATCAGGTCAAGCTGATCTTTGATGCTCTGTCTCTTAGGCAGCTTCCATCCTTAATTGCACAGGGTTATAATCTTGGAAGAGAAAGTCATGAAACAAACTACCTTCTTCGCTAATCTATGTCCAAGAGATATAGACATTTATTCATTTCCTCTTTCATTTATTACCCAGTCCATATGTGCATCATAAAATCTCCCACCAACTCCCCCTCCCCTTTTCTATCAGCCAGCATCCCATGACAACACTCTGCCCTACTGTCCTCTCAGAGGGGTAGTCTCATCTGATTCCATCAGTGACATACACAGGCCACCAGACTTCCCAAGCAGGTGGATTACAGTCCAATAACTGTCTTCTCTCTGTACCCAGGGGATTACTAATGAGAGAAAGCGGAAGCTGGAACAGCAGTTACAGAGCATCATGGTTCTCAACCGTCAGTTTGAGCATGTGCAGAATTTCATCAACTGGGCTGTCTGCAGCAAAACCAGTGTCCCTTTTCTTTTCAGCAAAGAGCTGGTAAGAGGAATCTCCCAACTCCTCAGCCTGTTCTTGAAGCTTATCAGAGCATCCCCTTTGTCACAGGGGCAATGAGGTGGTCCTTGGAAGTGCCTTTTCTTTTTAGGATGGAAGGAGGAATAAAATAGCAGCTCCATCCATCCTTCAAATTCAATCACTGCTTTTGGGTTAGTAAGTAAACACCATCTTTCACCAAATCCCATAGTGCAAAGAGGACACAGGTGCTGAAATGGTCCTGCCCTCCCAATGGTAGCTCAATTGGGAAAGTTTGTAGCTTTTTGTCATAGGTCACTGGTTCAGACATTACCCTGGACATGAGTAGTGTGCTAGGCATCTCATAGAAAGTTACTGGGGTTTACGTGGGGGTCTGAAAGAAAAGGAGTTGGAGATAAGGTTGAAGTATTAGGCTTGAGAGGACGGCAGCACCCAGGAGAGGGAGCAAGAATTTTGAGAGAAGTTGATGGAGTTTATATTGGAATACTTTGAGTCTAAGGTGCCTATAGTGCATCCAAAACCAACTCCAAGCTACCTACCATTAAAAAGCTGTTCTAATATATGGGTGTGGAAGTCAGAAGAAAAGTTGGTTTTGGAGAAGGAGATGTAGGAGTCACCAGGAAATCAGTGGTATCACCTTGCAAGAGTGTGTGGAGCAAGAAGAGAGAAAGTTGGGAACCCAGGGACTACCATCGTTTTCAGCATAGACAGAGGAAGATGATGAGTGGAGGAGAGTGAGACGCACTAGTCAGAGGTTGGAAGCAAAACAGAGTGTGGTACACAGAAACGAACAGTTTCCAATTTTAAGTGACCCGTTTGGCAATGCTGCATGGGTGAAAGAAGATGAATAGTGAAGAGCAGCCTCGAGATCTGGGAATCAGGCTATCTTCTGAAAGAAGCTCCAGCAAAGTAGAAGGGTCAAAAGCTAGAATGAGGAGACTGAGGATGGGTGGTGAGGAAGTAGAGACAGAAATGAAAAGAAGAAAAATAAAAACATAGCCTGAGAAGACAGTGAGTTGGGGGAAACATTTTTTAAGCTTGGAAAACATTTGCACACATGTATGTGGTAGAAGAGGTTGAAGATAGAGAGGAGGGGTGTGTGGTGGGGTAAGTACACTGAGAAAGCAGGAGGAAGGATATAGAGTGAACTGGTTGACCTTAAACACAAGGGCAGTCCCTTCTGAGATGGGAGGACAGGAAGGGGACAATGCTGTAGTTAAGTTTGAGGGTAGAAGGGATACAAGTTTGGGGTAATTTATCCTTTATGGTGTCTTTTTCTTCTCTGTGAAATACGAGGTGATAATAAGAGGGTTAAAACATTGGTAAGTAGCACCAAAGTGAAGATTTTAAATGGTCATTGAGTGCAGTGGAAGAGAAAGATGACAAGAAGTGACAAGAGAAAGGGCTGAGGGGTGCTGCTGAAATTAATAATCACTGAAGTGGCCCCAGGTAACATGGCTTTGGTATGACTGGATTACCTAAGAGTAGGAGTTGGCGATGGGGAGGGAATTAGGACACTAGTGATATCATTACTGTAAATGACAGGAAGCTGGGGAGTCCTGTGGACTGAAGGAGCAGGGCTTGGAGAGGTTGAAGAACATACTCTGAAAGAGCATGAACTTGTTATGACCAGAGTGGGTTGTTGGAGTTTAAAGGTCTCATAGGTAGAATGGTTGTAAATGATTAATAGGGTCTAGGTATGGTGACTAAACTGAAAACAAGGTGGTTGCCATGCAAGAGATCAACGAAATAAGAGGCTAAGATGTTAGTTGGGACATTAGTTAACCAGAGGATGGCAGGGTAAGTTGGACACTTGCCAAAGCCCTGGATAAATAGGAGAGTTAGTGATGAGAAATAGATGAAAGTGATGGGAGAGGAAGAGGGCTATTGTGTAGGACAGAAGGGTGTTTTACCTGCAAATGGAAGTACAGCAATGGGGAGCTCAGAAAATGCCTGCCCCCACTAGGCTCTTAAATTGAAGTGATGGTAGAATGAATGGAGCACCAGTCGATGTCATGAGTGAGAATGACAAATCACTTGAGGCCTGAAAAGATAAGAATGTAGGGGTTCCAGGCCGGGTGCAGTGGCTCACACCTGTAATTCCAGCATTTTGGGAGGCTGAGGCAGGCCGATCACGAGGTCAGGAGATTGAGACGATCCTGGCTAACACGGTGAAACCCCGTCTCTACTAAACAAAATACAAAAAAATTAGCTGGGTGTGGTGGTGAGCGCCTGTAGTCCCAGCAACTCAGGAGGCTGAGGCTGGAGAATGGAGTGAACCTGGGAGGCGAAGCTTGCAGTGAGCTGAGATCGTGCCACTGCACTCCAGCCTGGGCAACAGAGTGAGACTCGGTCTCAATAAAATAAAATAAAATAAAAGACTGTAGGTTCCAGAAGTCTTGATAAGAGGAAAGGGATCAGCTGGGAGGATGGGCAGGTGCTAAGGTGCAAGAGAATGAGAATATGGAGGATGACCAGAGGTTAAACAGCCATGACTTTGATCCTTTTAGCTTGTCCAAAGAGTAAGGGAAGGGGAGTTGTCATTTAGGTGCAAGATGCCCAAATAAATGACCTTTGGTGCTGTTGTCAGATTGTGTTTCAGATGCAGCGATTGCTGGAGACAAGTTGTAACACAGATCCTGGCTCCCCTTGGAGTATCAGATTCACCTGGGAGCCTAACTTCTGGACCAAGCAGCTAGCTTCTCTTGGTGAGCTTGGACCCACCCACCCAGGCCTACCCACCCTTTGGGCTTTGACCTAATTACTTACCTTACTGGGTAGGTCAGCATATGCCTAAGAAAAAGCACTCCCTGGGACTGCCAGTGGTCTTGGAATCATTCAGCAAACTTTTTTTCTTTTTTTTTTTCTGAGGGGGAAGAGGAGAAAATGAGGAATTTAAATAACAGTGGCAATATAGGACTTTGTATCAGGACCAGTTGAAATCTGAGTTTACCATTCTGTGTAAATGTCCTGTTACCTTGGTTTTATTGCTGAGAAGGAGACAAGACAGTCACCCTGCTCTCTAGAATGCTGTATGGCAGTACAGATGAATGTGTGTCTCTGTGGTCACACAAAGGTATACATGTGTGGGCACAAGCAGGGGTATCTCAGCAACAGTGAAATTGCGTGTGCATGTTTGTGTTACACAGACATATCCTTTTGAGTTGAGATATAAGCAGATAATTCATGGCCTTGTGCATTTTTCTTCCCTGCTGCAAACATTTGCTGGCATTCAGTCTTTAGGCAGAATGTAGGCAGCTTGAAGTTTTGCCTGTGTTGACAGCCTAACGAGTTTGTTAAACTGATGGCCAGCTGCTGCCTTCATTTGAGGCTGTTAATCTTATTGAAAATTTGTTGAACTTGGCAAAGTGACAAATGATATGTAGGTTTATTTCTTTTCTTCCCTCTTTCCTTTGATTTAACTCAGCAGACCTTTGATAGGCACCTACTCTTGTTTAGGCCCCAGGCTGAGTACCAAAGAACCAATGGTGAATAAAACACATTTTCCTTAAGGAGCTCAGACTTCCTCTAAGTAAGCCTCATCAAAATAATGAGATGAAGGAGTCATTAGACTGAGTTAGCCATAGATCTACTTGTGCACAAGGGACCTAGAGACCTCAGGGGGTGGTGCTGGTACCTGGCACTGACCTGGTGTATTAGTCCATTCTTGTATTACTGTGAAGAAATACCTGAGACTGGGTAATTTATAAAGAAAAGAGGTTTAATTGGCTCATGATTCTGCAGGATGTACAGGAAGTATGATCCTGGAATCTGCTCGGCTTCTGGGGCGGCCTCAGGAAACTTACAGTCATGGCGGAAGGTGAAGATGCCCATCACATGGACAGAGCAGCAAGAAACAGAGCAAGGGGGGAGGTGTTACACACTTTTAAACAATCAGATCTCACGAGAACTCTATCACAAGAACAGCACCAAAGGGATGGTACTAAACCATTCATGAGGGATCTGCCCCCATGATCCAGTCATCTCTTACCAGTCGCCACTTCCAAAACTGGGGATTACAATTCAACACGAGATTTGGGTGGGGACACAGCTCCAAACCATATTACCTGGTATTAGAGCTTCCCCACTCTAATCTCTTGATCCAGTCATCTCTTACCAGTTGCCACTTCCAAAACTGGGGATTACAATTCAACACGAGATTTGGGTGGGGACACAGCTCCAAACCATATTACCTGGTATTAGAGCTTCCCCACTCTCTTCCATCCTGCTTGCTCAACACAGTTCCCCACACCTGTATCTGGGAACTTGTTCATTGGTCCCAGGCATGACTTTCTACCCTTTGCTACTTTCTGGCATACTTCCTCCCCACCCCAAAGTTGATTCTTTTTGTCAGAGTCTGATTGGGCTGTTCTGTTGAAAAAAAAAATAAGTGCTATTTGAGAGAACTTATGGTTTCCCTAGTGGGATAGAAACAGAGTCAGGGCTGAGCATCTGGTAAAAACTGAGGTAATTTCTCAAATATCCTAGGCCCCCAAAGCAGGTCCATACAGGTGCTATTACTGGCAGCATTCTAGACTGAGTCTAGGATATCAAGGGTTGAATTTCCTAATCTCTGTGCCTGGTACAGAGATTGTCGAATGAGGTTCTTTTGTCCCAGGAGCAGGAAGTAGCAAGGTGGGAGCAACTTGAAAAACTTGAAAAACTCTCTATTCTGCATTTTCAGGCTGCATAACTACTGAAGGTGGACAACTGTCCCGGGCAGATGCTCCTGCTTATGGAGGCTTACAGGGGCCATCACCCTTTTATCAAAGCCACCAGTCTCCAGTGGCTCAGCAAGAGGCTCTTAGCCACCCCTCTCACAAGTTCCAGTCTCCAGCAGTGTGCTCCTCATCTGTGTGCTGCTCCCACTGCTCCCCAGTCTCGCCTTCCCTCAAAGGCCAGGTGCCCCCACCCAGCATGCACCCAGCCCACAACTTTAGGCAACCCTCTGAGATGGTGCCCCAGCAGCTGGGGTCTCTGCAGTGCTCTGCCCTGCTGCCCAGGGAGAAAGAGCTGGCCTGCAGCCCTCATCCACCAAAGCTGCTGCAGCCCTGGCTGGAAATCCAGCCCCCTGTGGAGCAGGAGAGCACATCCCAGCGGCTGGGGCAGCAGCTGACTTCCCAGCCCGTGTGCATTGTCCCCCCACAGGATGTTCAGCAAGGAACCCATGCCCAGCCCACCTTACAGACACCCTCTATCCAAGTCCAGTTTGGCCACAACCAGAAGCTGAAGCTCAGTCACTTTCAGCAGCAGCCACAGCAGCAGCTACCACCTCCACCACCTCCCCTCCCCGCTCCCCCACAGCAGCCACACCCACCTCTACCTCCATCCCAGCATCTGGCTTCTAGTCAGCACGAGAGCCCTCCTGGGCCTGCCTGTTCTCAGAATGTGGACATAATGCATCACAAGTTTGAGCTGGAGGAAATGCAGAAGGACTTGGAGCTTCTTCTCCAGGCTCAACAGCCCAGCTTGCAACTGAGTCAGACCAAATCTCCTCAGCATCTTCAGCAAACCATTGTGGGGCAGATCAACTATATCGTGAGGCAGCCAGCACCTGTTCAGTCCCAGAGCCAGGAGGAGACCCTGCAGGTAAGCATCAGGGTGGCTTGGCATACATATTCTGCCCATCCTAGGATCACTCACAGAACACAGCCTCCCCACATTTTAGCTTGTGGCCCTCTCTCTACAATGAAGATGGGGAAAATATTTTATGTGGCTGCCACAACCCAGAGCTGACTACCTTAGGATATGAATCAATGGAATTGTTGGGTGAGTGGTCTGCAGGGATGTTCTGCAGAGGTAGATGAGCAGCTGAGACACAGAGATGTCTTGAAGATGAGCTCTTGGAGGCCTCTCTGTCCACCCACCTACTAGCTTACTGAAACAAGGCAGCACAGGAATACAGTTTCTGCACCTTAGGGCTGCCTTGAGCTCAGCCCTCACATTTCAAGACTACCCTGGACTCAATCTCCCACCTCAGAAAAGCTCCAGAGAGCGTAGTATCCAGTCCCAACTTAGATCTAGGCTCAGTACTCTCCAGAGTAGCTTGGCTTAGCCCTGTCTTCTTGGATGACAGTAGGGACCCTGCCCACCAATGGTACCTTCTGAGCTATGCTGAACTCCTACCAGTGCCAGAGCAGAAGAGAGGCTCTCTCTTACCTTGTCATCTGCCTAGCTCCCTTGCCGGACCTTATGAATCCCAGACAGGGGGAAGGGCTGAGCTTAAGGAGCAGAGTGAGGGTCCATGTTAGATGCTGGCAGGCAGCACTTTTATAATATTGCACAGATATAGACTTAAACTTTTTTACTTCTACTAAGCTGGGTATGTTTTATTTGCACCATATCATTTATCCTATCGACAATGTTGTTTGGTAGGCATTACCATCTGTGCTTTATAGGTATGTAAGTGGGAGTTAGAGAAGCCTAGCAGTTTGTCTACATATCATACAACGTCAAGAGGTAGAGCTAAGACTTGGATTCTGGTCTGCTGACATTTCTGTAACGCCACAGAAGTCTTCTTCTTTCCATAGGAGGATATTGGATGCTGCTCCTCTTTTTTCTCAGCTAAAAGACAGTTGAAGAGGTGCAGTTTGGACCCCTGGGATCTTTGCTGCATTTCACATCTTCATTCTTAGCTCTTGATTTTCTTTTTTTTCCCCCAGAACCTCCTGTTCTATCCTCTTCTCTCTACCTTTCTCTCACTTTTTCTATAGTGGTGTCCCCTTTAAATCTGTAATCACATTTATATCTTCAAAGCAGCTTTACAGATTTTTACTTTATTATAGAATCTAAGGCCTCACATTTATGCTTCAGTACTGACAACTTCAGATCATGCTTCAATGTCTTCCCCTGAGGCCCAGTTCTTTTGAGGAGATATAGAATAATCCGTGTGATGGCAGAGAAGGGTCTAGGGTTCATAGAGGGCCACAAGCTAAAATGTAAGTCAAAACTAGGTTATGATTGCTAAAGTGAATATCACAAAATTAGCTCAGAATTCTTGGTTTGGGTTCCATCCTAAGACTTTCACATTAGCATATAGTCTTTGGAAGAGTTGGGATGAGTATTTTTCTTTTTGGAAAACATTTAAGCAGTACACAATGTGTAGGTGGTGACGATGGGCAGGGCAGGGTGAGCACTAGCCTTTGCTGCCACTGCTGCTGCTGCTGCTGCTACACTCTCTGCAGTCAAACCTACCCAAGTTCTTATTTTCTTCTCCAGGGTACAGATGAGCCCCCAGCATCTGAGGGCTCAAAGCGGGCTCTCTCTCTTGACAAGAATACTGCCGCTGCCTTGCCCCAGGCGTCTGGGGAAGAAACCCCTCTTGGTGTCCCCCCAGTGGACAGCACCATCCAGCACTCCTCTCCAAATGTGGTGAGAAAGGTACTAAAGGAGCCTGTTTTCCCTGACCACATGGGACCCACTGCCAGCCAAGACCCCAGGCACTTGGAGGAGGAGGATAAGGTGGGGGGACGAGCATCCCTGTTCCATCCCTGGACCCTACACAGCCCTGATTCATGCCTTCTGCCCTAGTGAGTCAGCAATGTAGATCTTCCTCCTCCCCATTTCCACTCCCCCATTCACACTTAAAATGGGGCCTCCTGGGCTTCATGCAGAGTGTAAGGGGGAAGGGAAAGAAAGCCAATTTATTGAACATGTCCTCTGTCCTCTGTGCTTAGAACCGTGTGTGCTGCTTCACCAGCATTATCTCACCTTGCCTCCAACAGTTGTGGAAGTGAGCATCCCCATTGTATAACGAAGGAAACTGAAGTCCAGGGCCCTACAGCTAGTAGAAGAGACAGCTGAGGTTTATTTAAAATGAGATCAGTTAGAATCCAAAGCTTGAACTTTTCTCTCTACAATGAAGATGGGGAAAATATTTTATGTGGCTGCCACAACCCGGAGCTGGCTACCTTAGGATATGAATCAATGGAATTGTTGGGTGAGTGGTCTGCAGGGATGTTCTGCAGAGGTAGATGAGCAGCTGAGACACAGAGATGTCTTGAAGATGAGCTCTTGGAGGCCTCTCTGTCCACCCACCTACTAGCTTACTGAAAGCGTTCGCTTACCCTGGACATAACCCAGAACCCTCAACTATCTATTCTCACCTCTGCCCCTTCACCCCCAACCCCTGTCATACCTCTAGCAGGAGCCTCAGTGCTGTGCCATATCCTCCACCCATTCCTCCTAGTGTCCCTTGGCCCTGTTTCACTTACCCTATTGCCTTCTCTGGCCTGGTGCCCTCAACTCTCCAGTGCCTCCACTCCGGCCTGGACTTGAAGTTCTGTCAGGTGTTCTGAACTCTCCCAGCCTGTACCCTTGGCCCTGTAGCATCCCTCTGGCCCTGCAGCCCAGCTATGCTGGCTGCTCAGTGTACCTACCCCTCACCAACTTTCCCTAGCTGTACCATCACAGTGCATGTCTTAGATCAGTCAGTCTCAGTGACACTTGAGGACAGTTTAGAAAAAAGAAGGGATGGCAAAAATGAAATGTCAACTTGGAAATTGCTGGTAACTCTTGAGGCTTTTTGTCTGTGCCTATCTTACCCTGTTGAAAATGGCTTGGCGTAGAGGCCCTTGAGGTACTGTATATTGGCCCTTTGTGGCTCTTAGATGTTTAACTTCTTGTATTTGGGCCACCCACCTAACTATTCATTCATTTATTTAATCATTTAATGCACACACACACACACACACACACACACATTAATCTCCAAGTATGTGCCCCATATTCTACTAGGTGCCAGGCATACATTGGTGAATAAGATAGTCAGTCCCATGCTGGAGAGTACAATCTGGTGGAAGAGACAGTTAAGCAACAATAATAAACTGTGGTAAAGTGCTATAATAGTCATTGGGGTACACCCCAATGGAGTACCTAGCTCTGGGAGAGGGGGCTGTTGATGGACGACTTCTTAGAGGACATTATTCTAAGCTGAAATTTCGAAGAGGAGAAGTTGGGCTAGTGAAGGGTAGAGGGGTAGAACAAATAGTCGAAAGGAATGGCAACTAGGAAGCTTCAGAAGTGAGAGAAAGCCTGGGGCAGTTAGGGGGGCTTCAGATAATTTGTAATTTGGTTGATAGGATCATGAGACACACTGGGGAATGGGATAGATTGAGACCAGAGGAGCTGTAAGGCCTTGTAAATTATGCTTTGGGGTTGGGATTCAGTCTTGGGGGATGTGAGGAGTAAGTGAAGGACTTCCAGAAAGGAGGGATATGGTTTGAATTAAGTTTGAAAGATCACTTTAGCTGTGGTAAGGGAGACCAGAATAGTACAGAGGAGAAACAGGAGGCTTAATGAAATCAATAATAATAGGAATGAAGAGGAAGCAAAGATTTCAAGAGATATCAGATCACAGGAGTTTTAGCCTCAGTGTCTGATTGATGATAGGTAAGGCAGAGAAAATCCTTTGGCTTAACACCCAGGTGTTTTCCCATGTTCCCATCCCAGTGGATCTGTCTTGACCCACTGGAATGGGAGCATGGGAAAAAGAGCATATTTAGGGGAAGAAGTTAAGTTTTGAATTATTGATATTCTTTTGTGGAAGACACATTACAAGATGACCTGAAGGCAGCTAGCTCTAGATGTCAGTAGTTCAGAAGCAAGCATGAGAATTGCTGTAACTGCCCGAAGGGTTCTTCTTGCCTGCTGCACAAATGAAGACCATGGCATTGCAGTAGAGAAAGAGTTTAGTTAATGTGAGGCTGGGATTTTTCAAAGGCAGTTTGGGGAAGGGGTGGAGGTGGCTAGAAATGGGTGCTTGCTGCTGATTGGTTGGGATGAAAATGAAATCATGGGTTAAAGCTGTTTGCTTGAGCTGAGTTGCTTCTGGATGGGGCCGTAGGAGTGGAACTGATGGATCTAGATGAAGCCATGGATGTCAGACATGCAGAAAACTTGAAAAGATATCTCAAAAGGCCAATCTACAATAGGCCCAGGAATGATTAGGGGAAAGGCAAGAGGTGGGGATGGGTAGGTTAGATCAGATCTTTTTCACTGTCATAATTTGCTCATTGATATAATTTTTGCAAAGGTGGTTTCATTGCCAGTGCTCGGTTGTAGTGGAAGCCATGCAGAAAATGCTGCTTCTCATTTGCTGAGGTTCAGTTCTGTTCCTATACACAGAGCAGAGGAAAGGAGCTGAGCCACATACATGCATGGAGTCAGTGCTGCCTGTGTGAGTGGCCCACAGGGTTCCCTGAGCAGCAAGGGGTGCTGCCCTCTTGTGTGGCTGCAAGTTGGCAGTGGGGTTAGCAAAGGTCCTAGAAACTCTAACTTCTCATTTTGAGCTTCTCCTGCCCCTTATTAAAAGGGGCTCCTGTAGAGGTTTGGAGGGACAGATGGCCTGGCATTCTTCACGTGTTTCATAGACTTTTCATGGCTTGAACTCCCAGAAAAAGGACCCTCAAATTTGTCATCCTGGCTTAGAGGAACCTTTGGATCGGCAGAGAGAGATCAACCCTGACAGTGAGAGCCACTGGTTGTCTACAAAACTACTGCAATAAGGATTTTCTTTTTGAGGAAATCTGTTGTCTTGGAGCTGGGGTTGGGCAGGGTGGAGGGTGTGAAGCTCAAGGATAGCAAACAACATTCTGAGCTTTTTACCATTGAGTGATAATATTTTGCATAGTATTGTTCTAATTTTTTCATAGGTTTTTACATGGATTATTTCATTTTATCTCTTTATCCTAGCGATACTATGAGGAAGCCACTTTCTTATTTCCCTTTGAAAGATGTGGAAACTGAGACACAGAGAGGTTAAGTGACCCACCTAAGAGTTATACAGCCAACCCATTGGGCAATGTTAGGGCCAGACCACAGGTCCTTGACAGCTCTGTGTTCAATGACTAGGTTAAATTGCTTCCCTTTCTGCACTGCAGTGTGACGTCTCACCTGCTGAATTTTCCTGTCTTTACAATCCTTGAAGTAGCCTGAGGCTTTGCTGGGGAGAGGTCTTAGGACCAGCCTAGTTTGATATTGGTTGTTTTATCTGGTAAAGGTGTTTTGTCCTCCAGCCCACTCCCAGCCTGTGCTGGCCTGTGAGTGCCAGGAAAGTCAAAAGAATCTATCTGAAAGTCACGGACCAGAAGAACCTGTGGCACCATGCACGTTTCTGTGAGTTCTACACTGACTGTTTATCTGTGTACAAGTACCTTGGAGCTGGTGCTTTGTGAGCCAATGGTGGAAACAGGTTGCTGCTGAAAATGAGATGTGAAAGTTCTGGAATGGGTTTTCTAGTGGCTTGAGCTCTGCAACCCCTTTTGAATGAATTTTGGTATTTGTCTGGCACCAGCTGTTGCCTAAACTTCCTAATCTTGGTTCAGTCACTCTGAAAGAAAGACCATGGCTACAACCCTACCACAGCAACCCTTACATCTCAGGTGAAGCTGGGAGACATTCTGATGCCTTCATTTTATGCTTCTGAACCAGTCAACTGCTGAAAAATACACACAATCCTTTCTTCAAGGGAGTTGGCTGGGTGCGGTGGCTCACGCCTATAATCCCAGCACTTTGGGAGGCTGAGACAGGCAGATTGCTTGAGCTCAACAGCTTGAGACCAGCCTGGGCAACATGGTGAAACCCCGTTTCTACAAAAAAAAAAAAACGCAAGAAAATTAGCCAGGCGTGGTGGTGCATGCCTGTGGTCCCAGCTACTCAGGAGGTTAAGGCATGAGAATTGCTTGAGCCTGGGAGGCAGAAGTTGTAGTGAGCCGAGATAGCGCCACTGCATTCCAACTTGGGCAACAGAGCGAGATTGTCTCAAAAAAATGAAAAGCTCTCATGGAGTCAAAGCTGTAGGCATCACAGAAAGCCCTATCTGAGTCCCAGTTCACCTGCAAGAGGGACCTTTCTTCTGCTGCTCGTAACATAGCCCCGGATCTTCAAGAGAGGACTTCGAGGCCACCAGCGTGCTATTCATGGCTTAGAAGCCTGAGATGTATTTCCAGTAAATGATACAGAAGCAGTAGGCATTCCTGTGATGCAGATTATTAAGAGTGATACAGAGGAGTAAAGGATAATGATCAGGCAGATACTATTTATACCATTATCAAAGCATTTTGATGCCCGATCTCTTAATTTGAGTCTTATAAAAACTCAGTGAGATTTACATTAACCTGCGTATGAGGAAATTAAAACCCAGAGCTGGACAATGACTTGCTTAAACTCATTAAACCCTGGTAACTGTGAGTAAATACCAGGCATCCTGCCTCCATAGTCTCCAAAGCTACTGCTATGGATCAGATTGTGGGTCCTCAACCTCAGGGACAATCTTTTCCTCATAGCCTAGCCAGGACAGCAGCATTTGCTCAGAATGTTCCTGGGACCTGGTGAAGCTTTCTTAGGGCACAGCCTGCGTTCTGGTCAGCATCTGCAGAATT